AAATAATTCAAAAAATATGCTTCCAACCTCCAGTTGCACCCCTTGCCCCGGGTTGCTGGGGATGAAATATTTTTTTAAAATTGAATTAGTACCTAAGTTAACTGTGGTTCAAATATAAATCTGTAGAAACGAGCAGATTTCGAGATATTTCAAAATAATTCAAAAAATATGCTTCCAACCCTCAGTAGCACCCCTTGTCCCGGGTTGCTGGGAATGAAATATTTTTTTAAAATTGAATTAGTACCTAAGTTAACTGTGGTTCAAATATAAATCTGTAGAAACGAGCAGATTTTGAGATATTTCAAAAAATATGCTTCCAACCCTCAGTAGCACCCCTTGTCCCGGGTTGCTGGGAATGAAATATTTTTTTAAAATTGAATTAGTACCTAAGTTAACTGTGGTTCAAATATAAATCTGTAGAAACGAGCAGATTTCGAGATATTTCAAAATAATTCAAAAAATATGCTTCCAACCTCCAGTTGCACCCCTTGCCCCGGGTTGCTGGGGATGAAATATTTTTTTAAAATTGAATTAGTACCTAAGTTAACTGTGGTTCAAATATAAATCTGTAGAAACGAGCAGATTTCGAGATATTTCAAAATAATTCAAAAAATATGCTTCCAACCTCCAGTTGCACCCCTTGCCCCGGGTTGCTGGGGATGAAATATTTTTTTAAAATTGAATTAGTACCTAAGTTAACTGTGGTTCAAATATAAATCTGTAGAAACGAGCAGATTTCGAGATATTTCAAAATAATTCAAAAAATATGCTTCCAACCCTCAGTAGCACCCCTTGTCCCGGGTTGCTGGGGATGAAATATTTTTTTAAAATTGAATTAGTACCTAAGTTAACTGTGGTTCAAATATAAATCTGTAGAAACGAGCAGATTTTGAGATATTTCAAAAAATATGCTTCCAACCCTCAGTAGCACCCCTTGTCCCGGGTTGCTGGGAATGAAATATTTTTTTAAAATTGAATTAGTACCTAAGTTAACTGTGGTTCAAATATAAATCTGTAGAAACGAGCAGATTTTGAGATATTTCAAAAAATATGCTTCCAACCCTCAGTAGCACCCCTTGTCCCGGGTTGCTGGGGATGAAATATTTTTTTAAAATTGAATTAGTACCTAAGTTAACTGTGGTTCAAATATAAATCTGTAGAAACGAGCAGATTTCGAGATATTTCAAAAAACAAAATAACATTAAAAAAAATCCCTCTCCTATACCCCTTGATATAATTTCCCTAAGAATATGGGTTGTTTTTCGCTGATATGTAACTGTAGTAGAATTTTATATAACTAAGTTAAGTGAGGTAAAATACAATTTCTGTCGATTAAAATATGACCCGACGCCACTGGGCGTTCGGGTATCTTCGGAAAATTTGGCTACTATCTTTTGCCACCAACTTCACACCGGTTTTGAATCTTTTGTGAAATTTCAAACAAAGTTTTGACTTTGAGCCTCAATATATCCAAAAGTATTTAAGATAGAGTATTGAATCTTATTTTATCTTAAATATAATTTAATTCTGATTCAGAATATATAATATTACATCATTTTTGTTGCAATAATAACCGAGTAATGAGCGATTTTATGAGACAATGTCAGATTATTGAAATTTTCTGAGCCCAAAATGTGGAAAAACGGTTTTTATTTTTTTACAAGCCCTAAAACCCAAAAAACAAAGTTGCGTAAATGCTTTTCCACTAATTTTCACCTCCTCTTTCGATTGGTAAAGTCAAAAATTTCAAAATCCAAAAATTTAAAAAATTCAAATTTATTCAAAGGGGTATGCATGGAAATTTGATTTTCAAATAGTTCAAAGGGCCATATTTTGGAAACCAGTGAAGCTATCGGCATGAATCTTTTGCCCAATTGTAGCTCTTCAGAAGGGCTATGAAAAAGGTTATTTGAGACTCCGAAACCAAGGGCTTCGTTTACGGGAAAATCAGCTTTGAATCTTTTGTGAAATTTGAAACAAAATTTTGACTTTGAGCCTCAATATCTCCAGAAGTATTTAAGATAGAGAATTGAATCTTATTTTATCTTAAAGATAATTTAATTCTCATTCAGAATATATAATTATACATCACATGTGCAGTTATTAGCGATAGTCCTTATAAACTCTGGACTCTGGATAACCAAAACACACTTCAAAATTGCTGAATTTATTTAGTAAACCAAAATGTGTTTTTCAATTTTTGATGTTTGAACATCTATACCGGCGGTTTGATGATAAATTTCGGGAAAAGTAACGGAAGTGTGAAAGGGGAGGTGACGTCATAGCCCATGTGCAATGCTAAGTTCGCAGCTACCTCAGCGCTTGCAGCCTATGAGGATTCATTAGATTTCCATGATAGATCAAGGCTGTTTAAAAGAGGACGTTGCGTAATAACTTATACCTATGACATCATTGGGTAGGAATGCAAGGTGGTATTAGAATGTATTCATAAATGTACACGGTACTTTGAATACTTGGGTATTGAATACTTGTAATTATTGTACTCTGTACTCAAGAACATTCTACGCTAAGTACTTGTACCCGGTAGCCGAGTACATTTTGCCTGTACTCGAAACAGCTCTGACTATGCTACGTCCGGTCGCCTATACATCGTCTGATCTAAAATTGAAACCATGAGCGGCCATTACTGCTCTAAACCCCCCCCCATGTGAAAGCTATAGCTACGTCGTTGCTTCAAGGAGAAGTTTTTCAGAGCACAATGAATATATAATTATCGTCTCTCGTCCGAATTTATTCAAATCGGAATTTTAATTAAAAAGATACAAATCTCCCGAAACGGAATTAATTCAAATTTAGCGGGCAACATAGAAACAGTTCTGGATGTAAAATTTGCATTGTCTGGTTTTCAATTTCCTGAATGAAAACGAGCGAACGGGGGTTTTGTGACATGTTTGTCCTGCCTGGACCGGCAATTTCTGGACTCTGGAAGCGTATGCAGTCTCCATTTCCGGCTCAGTTCGGCCGAATCCAACTTATTACATTAAATTGGCATGTGGACACGCCATCGAAGACTTTTTTAAAATGATTTATGAACGCACAACAACTGAAACTTTGCAGCGAAAGAAAATAATATCAATCAATTCGCATCCATTTAAGTTGTCGAGGAACTTTTTCGGGAAACTCGTTATTAATTGAAAAAGTTTTCGACTTTATTCAATGAAGCTCTTTACAGTCACAGAGAAAAATATCCCATTTTAAAACGATATACGTAACGTTTTATTAAATCCACAAACGGTGGTTTTCTTGGGTCCCCAAGTGCTTTTTTTTATACGGGACTTAATGACCGGTGGAAACCCATTGTTTGCCGTTAATACGGGCCGTTTATTGCGGTGGTAGTTTTGTTGCAACCCGGTTTTTGTCTTCTCTCTCGTGCTTTGGAAAACGTAATAGGCGGATTACAAGAGAATTTACTACACGTTTATTAAACTCTAGATAGAAAGTTAAATATTAAAAGAGATTTAGAACATCACTTGTATTATATTGGCTTTTAAGATGTAATTTTTTGCGGTAAAATTTGAAGAAAATTTCAAATTAATAAAAAGTCAGACTAACGAGCCGTGTAAAATCGCGAGAGCAAACTTTTACCCGCCGCTCTAATGTAACCATTCTCGCGTAATTATCCTGAATTACCGCAACTTGGCAGCTTAATAAAATATGTTCGTTGCCTCATTTCGCTAAATCCTTTTTATAGTCTCGGCGAAAGGTTCGTCAACAACAGTGATGTCAAATTTAAAATTATCAGGATTTGAGAACAAAATTATCAGATTCCAAGAAAAATTATCAGAAAAAGTTTCTGTCAACTTTTTTGAGCCCAAAGGCTTCGTTTACAAGATAATCGGCTTTGAAGCTTCAATTTCAGACAAAGTTTTAACTTTGAGCCTCAATATCTTCACAAGTATTTGAGATATAGAATTGAATCTTATTTTATCTTGAAGATAATTTAATTCTGATTCAGAATATATAATTTTACATTATATTTGTTACACTAATAACCGAGTTATCAGCAATTTTTCAAAAATTGCAAAATCCAAAAATTTAAAAATTCGAACTTTTCCAAAGGGGTAAGTAAGCATGGAAATTGGATTTTCAAATATTTCAAATGCTTGTATTTTGGAAACCAGTGAAGCTATCGGCATGAATCTTTTGCCTTATTGTAGCTCTTGATAAGGGCTACAAAAAAGGTTAGTAAAGACTCCGAGCCCAAGGGCATCGTTTTCAAGATAATCCACCTGGAAGCTTTTGCAAAATTTGAGGTAAAGTTTCAACTTTGAGCCTCAATATCTTCACAAGTATTTGAGATATAGAATTGAATCTTATTTTATCTTGAAGATAATTTAATTCTGATTCAGAATATATAATTTTACATTATATTTGTTACACTAATAACCGAGTAATCAGCAATTTTCTGAAAGAATGTCAGATTATTGAAATTTTTTGATCCCAAAAATTGCAAAAAGAGTTTTTATTTTTTAACAAGGCTTTTAAACCCAAAAAGGAAAGTTGCGAGAATGCTTTTCCACTAATTTTAACCTCTTCTTTCGATTGGTAAAGTCAAAAATTGCAAAATCCAAAAATTTAAAAATTCGAACTTTTCCAAAGGGTTATGCATGGAAATTGGATTTTCAAAAATTTCAAATGCTTGTATTTTGGAAACCAGTGAAGCTATCGGCATGAATTTTTTGCCTTATTGTAGCTCTTGATAAGGGCTACAAAAAATGTTATTTAGGACTCCGAGCCCAAGGGCTTTGTTTCCAAGATAATCCGCCTGGAAGCTTTTGCAAAAATTGAGGTAAAGTTTGAACTTTGAGCCTCAATATCTTCAGAAGTATTTGAGATATAGAATTAAATCTTATTTTATCTTGAAGATAATTATCGGGTCATTGGCAACACTGGTCAACAATAAATTCAACAACAGATATAAGTATAGAAAGACTTTCTGGGCATCCACCGCGGAAGCAAAAACAACAAGATTAGCTTACCTCTGTATTTTTGAAGTTTATATTCGTCCGAATGGTCCTTTGGTGTAGAGGCTGAATAGGCCTAGCATTATTTCCCAGCGGTGCCTTTGGGGCCTCCTCCGAGCCTTGCATTAGCTTGCGTAGCTGGTACAACTAAAATCGACAAAAAGAGAGCTATTTTGAAATGCTACACAAACGAGTAAAAAAAACGCATTACTAGTTAATTGCGGTAATAGATAACAGACATACTCAAACCGCTGGCACGTACCTCGTGTTTGGTAATATAAATGGGCTTATTAAGGATGATCCACACGGTGGTCTCCCAGCAGCCTGGATGCGTCGTCGAACCCTCGTACGTCATGAAGTATTCTGAATCTGGCAGCAGTTCTCGCAACGAAATGTGCTTGACAGGAGTGGATGCACCTACAGGACAATTACCATTTAAATTAACTTTTTAATCTAAGCTTCCACCTCATATTTATATGCAAAATAAATAAATAGGCCGCCAACATTTCTATGCATAATCTCCAACAACGAGGCTAATATTGTACGTGCTAGTGTCATTTCGGTTTCAAAGGAACGCGGTGCGTGATTCCAAGACATGAATCTGGTAATGTGCAATAATTGTAAATTTCATTTGCATCAAAGTGTACATGAAAACACGGCTTTTCTCCTTGGAGAAAGTTTTTTAATCTTAGTTTTTCCAACTAACTATACAGTTCTCTTTCGGCCAACTTATCTAAGTTTTGATCAACCTGGAATTAATCTCTCCCAAACTCCGGTGCTTTTTGAAAACTTTTAAAATATGCTCGCGTCAAGAACATACAATACTTTCACTAGTTTTACTTATCGATAAATATTCTGGCCTTATCGAAAAAAATGATTAATCGACCAGAAAACCGTATCATTTAAACGTTCCATCAATATAAATTTCCTTAATTCCCGACAGGGCTTTTACAAAATTGGTAATCCGAAAATTATTTTACCGGCGTTTTGTATGTGTACAAATCCCCGTTTGTTTTGCCTTGTCCCACCGGGCTTCGCGGAAACTGATATCTATATTTTGATTTATTCCGCACGCCAGCACTAATGAAATTATATTTATGTTCATTTTGATGTATTTAATATCTCTCTCTTTCCCTCTATCACAATAATGAACTAATTTTCAGTAAATTGATGCGTGTAATTCCGTTTTGTAATATGGGCGTTGTACACAAATATTGATTTTGTTATTTTGCTCGTTATCATACCCTCGATAAATGTTTGGAGTTTCTATTAATTTATTTTGCTTCAAATTTACATAACTTTTTGTGTATGACACGCATTTTATAAATAATATCGCAATGGATTCACACCCTAAGAATCTTCAACTGTATAGTACCTACACTTTTTTAATCGTCCTCGCAATTTTCCATTGGAAAAGTCATTTTAACATTTTATAACGGTCATAAACGGGTATTTTTTTTTGTTTCTCAACAGCGCCATCGTAAAACGAATCCGTTATGAATAAATTTTCCGTACGTATAACTTGTAACTACAGTAAAAATATGTTATCTGAAATCTTACTTCAGGCAAATGAAATGCTTGCTGCCACAACAAATAGTCTATTTATATGGTAAACGTTTAAAACCCGAGCGAAAATTGCCAATTTGTTGGCGAGTATTATACGTTTATCGATAATTAACTATAAACAGTCAATTTCTTTTTAAGAAACTCAATATACCGAACAACAAGAAACATCTTTCTTCTGCTTTTAACTAATCAAAATACGCTAGGGCTGTTTCAAATGAATCTTAAACGGTTTTAAGCTTTGTATACACGACTGCACCGCATATCTGGTGATATTATTCTCTTTGTGGCGAGGGCAATTTAACCTTTTCAAATTGCTATGCGTGAAAGACAAAAGGAACACTCGCTTCAACTCTCTGCTAGCCCGGAGGAATTCTTGTATCTCTGATTGCTTTCCTTTTTGATAATAATTTAAACTATAGTAAATCCCCATAATAACACTAATTCTAGTTTCAACTGCTACTGATCCTTGGCTCAATATTGTCAATTGGCTCGAAATCATCTGCATTGTAAAGGACGCACTGTCCCTATTGGAATTACCACGTTCAATCACAAGCCAATATGCACAACCGCATATTGCAAGTGACAAATTAAGCGCATTGACTTTCATTTGGCCGTAATATTGTTGGGAAATGAATATTTATATTGTTGTAATACTCTTTTTATAAGTAATAATTTGACTACCGACCTTGAGGTCTTGAATTTTGGTACTATGCCTACATTCGTGACTAGAACAAGGTCGGAAGTATTAGATATAACTTTAGTCAGCTCCAGTATTAGAGACCTCATCAAAAACTGAAGAGTATCAACCGAACCATTCCTGTCAGATCACAGGATAATTGAGTTGAACCTAGAGAATGTAAAATACAATAGACCCATACGAAAGGTTCCGAGAAAAACCAATTGGGAAGCCTATAAAACCAATTTACAGAACAACCTTCACTGCTTAAGTTCAGGTGAACCTGGAGTAGGACACTAAGGAAGTCAGAAAGGAAATTATGGAAGCCTTTGAATCCAGTTGCCCAGTGACTACAGCGAGATCCAAAAAAGATGCACCATGGTGGAACAGACACCTGTCAAAACTGAAATTTCAAGTTCGTCATCTTTTCAATACAGCAAAGAGTGACAGAAATTGGCAAGGATACGCAGAAGTGCTTACTCTGTATAACAAAGAGATAAGAAAAGCCAAAACATTTCAGAACCTTTTGTGAGGAAATTGCTGACACTCCAACGGCTGCAAGGCTACATAAGGCCATGGCCAAAGGAGGAACAAATCCAGTGATGGCCCTCAAAAAGCCGGACGGCACCTACACGGAAGGAGAAGAGGAGCAGGCGATCCTATTACTTCAAACGCACTTTACAGGTAGCGTACCAGTAGAAATAACCACGGTAGTCGACACCAGTAAACCGAAGAAGGAGGACTGGGAAGCTGCAAAGAGGGTTTTTACTGCGGAACGGATGAAATGGGCAATAAGTACCTTTCAACCGTTTAAGTCACCAGGAGTAGACGGAATATAAAAGGAAATATTCCCTCACCTACTTAGAATAGCTAGGACTAGTTTAGCCCCGGGATATATACCGAGTATCTGGCGACGAGCTAAAGTAACCTTTATACCCAAATAGGAAAAAAGGATGGGACAAATCCTAAATCTTTTCGACCTATTAGTCTTACGTACTTTGTACTCAAGACGATAGAAAAAGCTGTAGATAACTACATCAGAAAGGAAATTTTGGAGAAGGCACCTCTACACTCGTGCCAACATGCATACAGAGCAGGCAGATCGACAGAGACAGCGCTCTATCAACTTAAAGAAATCATCCAAAAAACTCTTAAGGAAAAAGAAACAGCCATATGTGCCTTCTTGGATATATCCGGGGTGTTAGATACAACACGGGGCTTTTGATAACACGTCCCATGAGGCGGTAAAAATTGCTCTGGAGAGGAGAGGAGTGAATAAAACCATAGTCCGATGGGTCTGTGAAATGCTGACTACGAGAACAGCTGAGACAACTGTGGGTGAACAAACCACAAGCATCAGAACCACTCGTGGTACACCTCAAACGGAAATAACCTCACTCCTGTTGTGGTGGAGCCTGGTAGTTGATGAACTCCTCTCCAGACTGACAAATCAGGGTCTAACTTGTATAGGTTACGCCAATGATATTGTCATTATTGCCAAAGGCAAGTTTGAGGGCACACTATACGACCTCATACAAAAAGACCTAAGTACTACCGAAGAATGGTGCACATCGGTGGCGCTGAGCATCAACTCAGCAAAAACCACTATTGTACCATTTTCAGGTAGAAGCAAAATTCAACTTACTAGGGAAATTCACCTAAGTAGAGAGGTTGTAAATCAAGCAAACGAAGTCAAATATCTGGGCGTAACACTGGATAGTAAACTTCTATGGAAAAAACATCTAGAAGCCATTGTTAACAAAGCTACTAAAGCCATTATGGTGTGCAGAAACTTGGCGGGTAAAAACTGGAGATGTACACCAAAAATACTGCGATGGATGTACATTATGATGGTAAAACTCATAATCACATATGGGGCAGCAATTTGGTATGGCATAGCAGAACAAAGCACTACATGGCAAGCACTTGATAAATTGCAAAGACTGGCAAGTGTATGTATTACTGGAGCCATGATGTCCAACAGCTGCGTTGAACGTCATACTTGACCTCACACCTTTGCACTTGTCGGTGAAGGGAGCTGCAGAAAGGGCTATGTTTAGACTAGCTAGGAATAGGACCGAGGCTAAGGACATCGTCGATCAAGGAGCATGGTCATCCCAGACACGGAGTATTTCCTTATTCGATATTCCTAAAGACGATATAACCAAAGAATATCACTTTGAGAGAAACTTCCTCACAAGGATTGATAATAAAAGCGACTGGGAAAGCGGCAAGATCACCGAATCTCTCAAAGAAAACACCATTAAATGGTACCTATATATTATCCACGACCACTCTACTGAAGAGTTAGCTGGCTGCCCTATAAGAAAGTACTCCAGTACAGTAATATTTCGTTGGCTATAGTAGTTCTGGTCCTGGACTGACAATACTCTGGGAAAATACAATGCTTGTGACGAATTATATTAATTTTTTTTATGACACAGTACAACCCAGTAGTAGAAGTCTGTAATTAAATAATATCCAGTGGAGTTTCACTACATCCGATCCATATATCGGTTATTGTACTCGCGAGAATATACAAACTGCATGACAAGACTCACATGTGTGCCGCAATGCACCTTTATGATTAATCAGCCAAAACATACCCCGAGAGAGCAGGAGGAACTGAGCCTGCCGGGGATTAGACGGCAGTCTTGTCACAAGTTCCCGTTTCAATTTTCCCAACTGTTTAGAAACCGGGCCCCTCGTTTCTAAGATGTCTTTGTTGCTTTGTCGTTATGTTATGCATACAACAGTCGAGTTGTGGTGCGGTCGAGGTGACGATTTCGCTTTGGGAGAAGATACACGCAAATAAATTCAAATGTCGTATATGAAATGTGCTGATAATAATTAAAGGCGCATATTCCGCATATATAAATCCTCTCCTCTATCTATGGGTACTAAATCACTGTATTGTTGGTGTATACAGGAAAAGAACGCTCTTAGGACCATAAACAACGACTTTTGGATGGCTTTTTCATATATATTTTTTTTCTGTCTTTTTGTATAAGCTTTCTCTCGTGTTGAATAGTCCTCAATATTTGGCAGAACACATACGTACTTTCTGTATTTAAAAAGACACCCAATAGTACTTATATTGTATTTTACGTCCACTCTTTGTACCTACATTGATTTATCTGTTGCGTTTATTATTTATACGCGACATTGTCAATAA